GGGGGGGGGGAGGAAACAACAGACATACCCACAGATGGAGGGGAAGAAACAACAGACATACCCACAGATGGATGGATGTGTGTGTGTGTGTGTTTTGGTGGGGGGCGGTGGGTGCTAAGGGTGCTTACTCTACTTCTCCGCCGTGTTGCTCGACTTTTTCGATGAGGTGTGGCTTCTTGGGGTTGCTGAAGCTGCCGATGAAGCTGAACCGCATGCCGATCATCTCGCTACCCTCTGGCACCTCTGACAAATCCTACATACACACACCCACCCACAAGTGGGTGTGGACAGGTGGGGGTGTGGGTGTTACCTCATCCTCAGAATCGAATACGACGGCAGCTGCTGCTGCGGCGGCGGCGGCCGCTGGGGCTGGGGCTGGCTCGCCTGAGCGGCTGCGCTTCTTCTTGGATGGCTGATAGACAGATGTGAAAGGCTTTCCTTTGAGGCCTTTCTTCTTCTTTGGACCCATGATGAAGGCTTAGAAGGCACAGAGAACGCCTTCTGAGCTCTTTATTGCTCCTATCCTGCAGCTGCTTGCTGTAAATGCATGCGTCACGGGGGCGGGGGGCCTCTCCGTCTCGAGTTGAAGCTTTTGCACCATCGCTGCTGATAGATCTCATCCACACATATACGTACACATGACATGGCCGTCGAAAGATGCTAACAACTCGATGGTTTGTGGGTCCCAGGCCACCATTCTCGGTGAGCGGACGCCTCACTCACTTCCCCACATGTGTAGCGTGGGGATTTGCGAGAAATACTTTCTGTGTGGACGTTCCTTATGCCCATCGGCACCAAATCGCAAACAACTCATCGGCTTCTTGGCCAATCGGCCTGAAACTCGGCATGTGAGGTCCTCTCACCAAGACGGAAATCTGTAGCGTAGGGATTTCCGAGATATGGTCTGTGTGTGGCTGGAGGGCCTCACGCCATACAAATATGCAACCGACGTGTACAAGGTGGCCGTTGAACAGAGCCTCTCAGTTTGAAGTGAAGCTTCCCACTCCCTGTACGACACAGTGCAGGCAGAGTGTCTTTATTTATAGTGAATGGTTTTCGAGGCAGATCGCCAAGTGACTGCGTTTGGTTATCGATGGGTGGGTGGGTGCAGTGCGGCGGGTGAGTGGAAAGGTACACGCGGCTGCATGAGGTCTGATCATAGTGTATGTCAGGCTGCGCCGTGGAGTTGATCGACTAATGCGTTGTGCGTATAATGCACAGATGGCACTTAATCGAGTTAGTCTCCATTCATTCACATCACACACCCACAAAGCTAAGCCTGACGCTCATCCATCGGAACATCGCTTCGTGCGCAACTGCAGATGAAGAGAAGGTGAGAGAGAGACACACACAGTAGGTGCAACAATCCACTGCACAGCACACATGATGTGTGTCTCGATGTAGTGGAGTCTCCTGCTTTGGTCTTTGTTTGTTTGTAGTTTGCTCTCCTCGCCGCCTGATTGAGGGACACACAAGCCCGTCGCTGAAGAGAGAGAGAGACACAGACAGACAGACAGACAGAGAGACAGAGGGCGTGCAGTGCGGATGGGATGGGTGTGTGTGTCTGTGCGTGGGTTGTGGGACGGAGCGGTGCAGCCTACCTGTGTGTGCGTCGAGGCGGCAGGTTTTACGCGCCCTTTGCGGGTACTCTTAATAAAGCAGGCTGTGTGCAGAAGGGAGATCGATGTCATTGATACAGTTTGACGGATGGACTGACTCATGCAGTAGTTGTCATGAGTATAACCAACCGCACACACATTTAGTCATGTGCATGAGCAGTCTTGATCACTTCACAACACACACACACACACACACACGCAGGCATACGCTGTTCATGGAATATACACAGTAGACGTCACATGACGGGACTGCACATCGCATGCTTGCATGTCTGCCCTCTCTCTCTCTCTCTCTCCCCTGCTCAAAAACGACGACGGCACTATCTGCCCTCGTTCTCCTGCCGCCACACCTTGCCCCCCAGCTGATCCCCCAGCACTTCCATCACCACAGTGCGCGTCTGATTGTGGGGGGCCGACTCGGTCGTGCTGACAATAACACACCGGTCATCCCCTCGACCCATATCTCTCACCAGCCGAATGACTGCCATGTGCCCCTCGCTCATCGCCTCACTGCCCAGCATCACCAGCCGGCGATGCCATCTGTCGTCCCGCTTTTCGTCGAATACGGCCGCCTCCGCCCCCCACTGCGCCGCATCGGTGGGAGAGGCCGCCAGCAGCTCACCCACACGGAGGTACGCGGCAGAAGCACAACGGAAAAAGCAGCAGTAGTTGACACGACGGAAATAGCAGCAGTATTTGACGCGAATCATGGGGTGGCCGTTAGGAAGCCAGCAAAACACTATGAAACCCACCATGCACGAGTAGTTGGGGTACGTGTAGTCGGCCAGCTCTGTCGGCGGGTCGGCGGGGTCGAATGGGGCATGAAGAAAGAGGGGGCTGGCAGAGGCAAGGAGAGAGGGGAGGCAACGGCCGGGGTAGAGGCAAAGGATGCCGTTGCCGTCCATCAGGGGTCTCTGTTGGTAACCAACAGTGACCCCGCAGCTGAGTATCTTCCACTGGCGGACCGCCTCCGTCTCACTCATGAAGGCCGCCCGGCTGCCGAAGACGCCGAAGTTGTCATCCGCCAGCACCAGTGGCCTCTTGCCTCTCAGCAGATACAGCATCTCCAGCACTGGTTTCCATCTGGCCCAATCGCCGCCCCTCTCGAGCATGAACAACCGGCGGCTGAGCTGTTCGATGAGGGCCCTGGTCAGGGCCACCGTGACGGCCGCCCCCTGAGTGAGCTGAGGGATGGGCACCTCCACCAGCGCGCCAAAGATGGCGGCCACGACGACGGACAGCCGCCGCTGGAGGATGGGCAGCAGGACGGCGGGAGTGAATTGGGTGGTGTGAGCGTCGATAAGGGCCTCCAGCTGTGAGTAGCTCATGACGTACTCGGCGACTGTCGTTGCGAGGTGTTGCGGCACATCAGCGGCAGGGACAGTGGCTGATGCGTCAGACGATGTCTGCAACTAACATCAACAACGACAGTCATCGGCGGGTGCTGCTTTCTTTCTCTACTTGCCTCACCGTGAATAAGCCCTTTAGCCACCGCCATACATTGGTTAACATGCTGGCGGAAGAGGCCCTTAGTGACTCACAGATCTGCCACAAAGATACAGAGGAACCACACAGGCCGTCATTGCCTATGTCATCAGGCTCTCCCGGTTGCCCTCCCTCACCTCAATGCGTCAGATCAGCGTCGGTCAGACAGATGACGGCAGCATCTGAGGTGATCGATGTCATCACAGCAGCTCCTTGGGCATCTCCCAGACACTCGACAACGCCACTGTGTCCAACGGGGGGGGGAGAAAGGGGAGGAGAGGAAGGGACGCAAGCCGAGCTCGCAGATGGATCGCCTCTCCGATTTGACGCGTTTAAAGCTCTCAAGCCACTCGGTGAGGGTAGGGTGACAGTCAGAGAGGCAGGTGAAGCCATCGTGTGAGATTTATGTGGTGGATCCAAGGCGCTCTCTGACTGCAATCAACCAACGATAATGAATGCAATTAATGCATCAGTCAGTCCGGCGCAGGCAGGGTCCGTCCATCATGTCAGGATTGCCAGCTTGGCAAGACGAACCACTGCGAGCTTGTGAGCTAGGGTAGATTGCTGTGTAGCGGAGAGAGAGAGGAGAAGACAAAGAAAGACAAGGAAAGCATTCTGAGGAGACACGATCTTATCAGCCATCACCGAAGTGAGATCTGTGTTGACCACCCTTCATGATGCCATACATGGACAGAGACAACTTTGACTGATTGGCCAGTCCATCGGTCTTATTAAAGTAAAAGCACTCTTACTCTGGGACTTACCGCGCAGCAGATCCTCT